TGTCATACAAGTGAGAGGTTTAACTAGCTTTAAAACCAGGTTTAATCTACCATTTTCTACATAAGAAAATGCCTGTACCAAGTCAGGAATATGACAGTTGTTATCCATTCGTTTGATGTGTTTGAGCTCTTGATTTTGCCATTCGATTAGGGACTTTCCTTTTTGAATTTTCCTCTGAGTTCAATATTTTTGTGATTATACTTTTTATTGATATAAAGTTAAAACATCCTTACTTCTCACTAGATAATACTCCTGTCAGGTTTAATTCTTTTACATGCGGATGAAAAATAAAAGTCAGGAAAACATTTACCAGGCAGCAATTGCTTTAACAGCCTTTAAGGCTTTGATTGTTATATGGGAGAGTAAAAACAATGCCTAGAACGTACTTTACGTGATCTATTCCTGCAAGGAATTTATGCATCAGACAGGAGAAACAATTGATTTCCCATATTATGACTTTTTGATAAAATGTTTTTTGGTCAAATTTGGATAAAACAATATATTATTATGTTTAGTACATGATTTTAATTTCATTGTTTACAAGTTGTTGCAGACAACAATATTGAATATTAACGTTCGTACGTTGTCAACAGAAGCTCACACTTAACAACAAACATAAAAATAAGGTTAAAACAGCAACGGAGCCAAATATAGAAAAATATTTTGATGAATGCTCTTGTTTAGTTTCTTTAACTAATATGCAAGCGTCCTTGTATATATTTGTTTGGTATGCAGTTTTGGAAATTCGAACCACCTCCCCCCCCCCCCATAAAAAAAAGGTTCAATCGAGATTTTAAAAAGTTTGAAAAATAAGAATACTATTCGCGAGGTTTAATCGAATTGAATTAAAGTGAATAACCTTCGTCATGTCAACTTGAACCTTGAAGTTTAAAAAATGGAATAACAATCACCGGGTACGAATGACACATAAAATTGAAAAGTAGAATAACATTCTAAGCCAAGCTATATAAAAGGCGAAAACAAATGAATTCAGATGAAAAGCCGCAACATGATAGCCAAAACCATTCGATATCAGCTTTGTTTGAGGGAAACGTTCCTTAGTTTTAAAACAATTTGTACAATAACGTATTTCATAAACAAGGTATGTCTTATCGATTTACTCATATAGTATTTGAATAACATAACATACATTGAAATTGAAATTAACTTTTCTCATCCATAGGGAAAACTGTCAAAGATCAGCAGCTGAACATGCTTACATTATATTACATCAAATAATAGTCATTAATTGAATAACATAACAGTTTGAATTATTTATAATCCAATATAACAACTGCACGGAAAAAAGATCATCAGTAATTATAAAATCGTTATCGAGAAGTTCTTGAGTTAAAAGTCTATTTTATCATATCCATTGCAAACAACGTTTAGGGTAAATGTATAATTGAATAACCTGTCCGTCCGTCCGTCTCTCTGTCTTTCCATGTACCTTGTAAGCGCAACTCCTAAACGGCCAGACGTATGAAATATTTATACAGTTAAAACAAAAATGACCTGATGCTGTGCATGAAGGATAACATTCCAGGTTCAAAAGCTAGTATCCCAAAGTTATTAAGGATATTCTACCCAAGAAATAGATTACCTAAGCTGTATTTGACAAAACCTTTCGGAATTTTGGGTCCTCAATGCTCTTCAACTTCGTATTTTATTTAGCCTTCTAACTTTTTTTTATTCGAGCCTCACTGATGAGTCTTTTAAATACAAAACGCGGGTCTGGCGTACATAATTCTAATCCAGGTCTTATCTATCATGATTAATTCACTACGTGTGAATTTCATGCAATTTTCAATATTTTCAGTAACTAGTTTTTATACCGGCACTTCAGACTTTGTCCGTAAATGCGTGTAATACTTTGCGTTTTATATAATACATTTAAGAAAGAAAGATGACGTATTTTAAAAAGATGATATGAATTCAAAACATCATTATATCTGCAATCGTTCATTTTAATCTGTTAGTCAGATCCAGATGGCATTAGTTATTATTAGCTTTGAACTAGCTGTCAGTAACTGCGAGTAATCTCAGATTTGTCTTTTTTGTTGAAGGGATGTATAAATACCCTGTCAAGTCCGGGCTGTGTTTTCCAGTTACTTTTCTGCTTTGTAGCGATATGAGATTTGCTACTAAATCAGTAACTAAATCTATACACACTGACATATAGTTTGCATTTATTTTCATGCATGTGTGCATATTCAGAAATGTGCTGTAAAAAATGGTGACATCTTATTAAAGAGCATTTTTTCAAGAACAATAAACTTTACTTTTTTTAATTTACTGGCTGGTTTTGTCTTTTTGATTAAGTAAGAGTATTGGTACAATATCAGTATGATTGAAAACTGTCATGATCAGAGAACAATTAAACACAAAGGGTGGAGCAATAATTGGAATTGTATATAGACCCCTCCTCTTTAATGCCAATTATAATTGTCCAAATTATATAAATTGAGCTTATACATAACATGAAAGACCACATAATAAACAATACTATGACCTTATTAGTATTAGACAGATGCTTGATCTATATAGGTCAGTGTCATTGTACATATGGTTAACATGAATATTAAGTGTGCATTACTTTAATAAAATTGAATACAGATGATAGATTTTAATCATTCACCTTTATATAACTTTTGATTTACACTGCATTTAACAAAAAATAAGATAAATGTAAATTTTGGGAGATACAAAAACAACTTAGTTTCAAGTCTCTTTATCCATTGGTCCAAGGTTTACTGAGAAAATGCAATAATTTCTTTTTAGGTATTTTTTTTCTGTTTTAAAAAAAAAAAACAATAAATTGCAATTTTAAAGAAGTTATTATGCAAATTAGTGACAACTGGCTTTGGCCTCTTCTAAGCTATTTCATGCACCGAAAAATTGATTATCTTTTTAAAATATCTGCAGCAATGTAACTAACAAATATGCAATAGTGCTATAACATGTTTTTCTTGTCCATCACTACTGTTATGGAAGAGCAATATATGATTGAAATTAAACACACAATTCTTCCCATCTTTCCATCAGTGACTTCAGATCACTTTGATTATAGATTGTTCTTATGTTGAACTGTTACACAACTGCAACAGGCTAGGTGGAGGAAGTGGCACCAGCAAAATAGTTTAACCCCGCTACTTCTGTATATGCCTGTCCAAAGTCAGGAGCCTGTAGTGCAGTTGTTATCGTTTTTTGCTCTATATTATATAAGTTTTTCGTTCATTGTTTTTACATAAATCAGACTGTTAGTTTTCTCGTTTAAATTGTTTCACATTTGTCATTGCATGGCCTTTTAACGCTGACTGTGCTATACGGGTTTTGCTTATTGTTGAAGGCTGCACGGTGATCTATAGCTGTTAACTTCTACGTCATTCGGTCTCGGATGTAGAGTTGTCTCTTTGGCAGTCATAGCATACCGTCCTATTTTTACATATACAATATTGTATAGTTCTTTGATGTATCGAAAGCGTTTCACGTACACCTTTTGCTTAGACTATTTTATTTGAAGTTCTCATTCTGATTACACGGATGTTTGAAGTACTGACTAGTCTTTTAAAGTTAATAGCTGTATTTATTCATTTTGATTCATTGGAAACATTTAAAACTGCCACTTTTTGTAAAGATGGTACGTGCAGCAAGTTTTAACATTTTTTTATTGATCCGATAGTTTATAGTGCTATTTAAGGATATTTAAGGAACATTTATACAATAATATATTATTACAAATCTGTCGTTCAAGTTAAATATTAAAATGGGGAAACGTGTATCTTGGCTATTAAATAGATGCCAATTCGGTTTGTTATCTTAGTCGCTTGATAATGTTATATGTTTTGGCGGATTCTTTTGTAATTGTCCGTTTTGTAATTGTTTTTCCAATGTTGTATTTTTTCTGCTTCGTCTTTTTTTTTTGTCTTCATAAAGCCTGTCCGTCTACCACTCATGTTCTTCGATTACTCTCCTATTGTTTTCTGTAGTTAATCATGGTACATAGACATTCATTTGACGTTCCACTTAAAATTACACACGTGACTGCATCAAATCAATACGAACACACACATGTACAATTAAAGGCAAAAGTATGTTAAAATCTCATTAAGTCGATTAAGAAGACAAATCAAGGATCCAAACAAAACTGAGGTATGTACATGTACTAACAAATGAGCGAAAAAAGATGAGTCCACATGATAAGCATCTCCTGCTTTGCATGTATCACCCGCATGCGAATTCACACTCAGTCATTATGTTACAACCGACGTCCATTCAGACAGATCATTCGTTAAACGAATAAATTGTGTGTAGAAATACTTTATTGAATATGCAAAATGAGGAATACTAAATGTTGAAATTGAATGTTGAATGTTGAAAATCGAACGTGGGAATTTGTGCAAATGGTATGTTGAATGTAAAAAAATTCAATCGTAAGTTAGAATTGAAGAGTTAATGTTAAAATAGAAGGCTTATGTTGAAACCGACGGTGTACTGTTGAATTGAATAGTGATTGTTGAAAGCTCAAAATTTAAATTTGAACGTTAGCAATCGAATGCTGATAGTTGAATGATAAAAACGAATATTGCAGTTTGTAAATCGAATATTAAAAACCTAAACGTTGAGAGTCTAATGCTGAAAAACAAATGTTGAATGTTGAATTTTAAAGGTTAATATTGAAAATTTAAAGGCGAATGTTGAAAAATGAAATTGAATGATGAATGAAGAAAATTACATCTTGAAGAATTTTTACTTGAAAGTACAACGCCGAGGATAAATATGGATATAAATAATATAGAGCAGAATGCAGAATGTCGAAAATCGAATGTTGAATCTTGTCGAAAGTCGAAAATCGAATGTTGAATCTTGTCGAATGTTATAATAGGATGTTCAATGTTAAAATATTGCGTAAAATGACATTGCTTATAATATATCTATTTAAATTAGATCAAAGTGAATGTTGAATGTTAATAATTGTCTAACTCGATGAAGTAGTGACTAACATCGATCTGTGCACCTCGAAGTCAAAGTAGATGTTACTGTTATTAAATTTCAATAATTAAAATACCCAATATCTGATTCAGTTTTGTGACAGTTCGTATTGTTGTGTCTAAATGAGTAACATGTGCTGTGTCTGTATACTTTTAGGATGCTATATTTTGCAAGACTCTTGGTCATTTCTATGTTCCAGCTGGTGATAGGATCACAGCTAAGTAAGTACATTGATTGTGTTGTTTGAATTAATTATTTTCTCGTTTCACACGTAATTTACTATATTAATTTCTTCTCTATATTGAATAAAATGAAATAGAATTGCATTTTTAACTTGTATGTCTTCGCCTTTGGCTGAAAATCTTTATTCATATAAAACTTTATGTATAAGAAAATATCTAGAATACTACTATATGTCTATTGTGATCAGCGCAATAGATGTATATCAAAGCTGAGGATATCAAATACAGAAACCACCCTCTGACTAAATATCTGAGTGCATGAACACTTATGTCAGGACACACCTTGCTCGTTTTTTTGGAGGCGAATTAGTAACAAGGAAAAAGATTCCAATAAAAATGTAATTTATTAAAAACGACGATCAAAATTATTTGCATCAAACGGGGCGGTAATCGTACAAAGGGTAACATTTATCGTATAAAACTTTATGTATAAGAAAATATCTAGAATATTGCTATATGTAAAATACAGATAAAACATTTGTACTAATATGTACTATATATATAAATACAATTTAGAAAGTTCAACAGGGATTCAATGTTTTGACCTTTTTAATACTGCAAAATGCAATTGACCGTTAGTGAACGTGTATTTAATTGCTAAATTGTCGATGTTCAGAACCAAAACTTTGACATGCATTCCATTAATGCATATAATAATAACCGCAATGAATACAGGTTGAATAACCAATCTACCCTTAAATATGGAAAATAATTGACATAGGGTTTCTAGCTAAAGAACATGTATCTTCTAGCTGTTAACATTACAAAATGAAAATCAAAAACGCAAATAACGAAAATAAACTATCAGAATATCAGCTGTAAGTTTTCCTTTTTGATTTGTACGCATCTCTTTAAATCTTAACACGTTTTCTAAGTATAAGAACCTGTAATTTTTCACATTGAACCTTGAATGAACATGTGTATCAATGACAATCATATTACATTTGTATATTTTAATTTTAATCTATCGATTCGTTATAAAAGACAGGAGAAAGATACCAAAGGGACATTCAAAGTCGAAAATAAACTGACAACGCCATGGTTTAAAAAGAAAAAGACCTACAGACACACAACAGTACACAAAACACAACATAGAATTTAAGCATCTTTTAATGAAATATAATGAAAATAAGAAAATGTGGTATGATTGCAAATGAGATAACTTTCCTACATAAATCACAAAACGGTATTCAGCAATAATGAGCACCCTTATCGAATAACAAGCTATAAAATGCACCGGAATTAAAAATATAAAACAATTCAAACTAGAAAACTGATCTGATTAATGTATGAAAAAAAAACAAACGAAAAATAAATATGATATACATCAACAAAGTCATGCCTTGCATTGCAGGCCCTTGACTCTAAACAAACACATACAGAATGGGTCGGAAATAAACATGGCTGGTACTTGCTTCAACTATGTATGGACAAACCAATAGGATTGACTTGTGTATGGAAATTATCGGAGTTTTTTCATTCATTCATATCTAAATTTTTCATTAAGTCGAGTTATGGATGTTTCTTGCTAAAAGTTATAAAAATACCTGGCTTATGATTTATGACGGGTGCCACATGTGGAGCATGAGCCGCTTACCCTTCCTGAGCACCTGAGGTCACCCCCAGTTTTTGGTGGGGTTCGTGTTGCTCAGTCTTTAGTTTTCTATGTTGTGTTTTGTGTACTATTGTTTGTCTGGTTTTTTAGCCATGTCGTTGTTAGTTTATATTACTTTCGACTTATGACTTGAAATGTCCATCTGGTATCTTTCGCCTCTCTCTTAGTACACATGTTATATTCTAATTTTCAACTGTTAACACGCACAATTCTCATCACACGTGGTGTACACGCTTTCTAGGTTTTTAAAAGCGATTTCACACATTCTCATTCCGTTATTGTAACAATTCGGTTACTAGTATTAGCTATATTTACTTTCGGTTCGACATGCTCAGTTTTTGTCATTGATCGTTGATTATATCAAGGACGCGAGTGGTTTCTGATACACAGTTTGTCAATCTTTATTTTCGTGTTCGAAAAAATGTCCAGGGGTTGGAAGAGGTCACTTTCTACACTGCTAGCTATTTTTAAAGAGGAATAGGTACTTTTTGTACGTTATATCAAAACGTTTGGAAATAGGGCGTTTAAAGTATGGATGTGAAGTTAGCAGCTGGTTTGTTATTCGATATTCGATATTCAATATCCAACCGGCTGCTAGCAATCGGTTCGATATTCAAATTTAGTTGAAAATCATAAAAAATATAATATTTGATAACATTAAAAGCATGATTTTTAAAGTTGAAAGGAGTAAAAAGATACGTAGGAAATCGTTTTATGGCCCCTTCAAGTTGTCTAAAATTCTCGTCGTCCTCAAATATAAACCCTTATCAATGCTTATGTAAATTGCATATTTGTCTTTATGTAATACAGATTTTTATCAATAAAACGACATCAAAACTGTAATTTTATATCTAATATTTCTTAAAACAAAAACAAAAACCAATCACTCTAGAAAAAATTTAGAAATATAAATAGAAATATATATGGAAAGTCCAAAAAAAAGAAATACATAGTGAAAACCTACCTGAGACCGCTTAAATGACGGTGAGACCCCTCTGTTGTTTCAATGTCAAGAAGATTCATAGACTTTGTATAAATAAAGATTGTATCATAAGGATTTCCCAGAATAATGTCATCTTCGATATCTACGGAGGGCTTAGATTGTCACTTTTAATCTAAAAATTGTCAAAATTTCAGGACAAAGGCCACAGGGCAATGGTGTGAGCCACCTGATCTCTTAATCTGCCTAATATTAAGCAGACAGTTAGTTAAAAGGTAGATACAAACGTGACTACAAGGAATTTGGGTACACTTCTTGTCTTCTATGTTTACGGAGGGCCGAAAGTGCCAGTTGGATATTCAAAATATATAGCGAAAATCGACCTTAGACCGCTTAAATGACGGTGAGACCCCCCCTGTTCTTTCAATGTCCATAAAATTCAACGAATTCATAGACTCTGTATAAATAAAGATTGCATCAAAAGGATTTCTCAGAATAATGTCATCTTCGATATCTACGGAGGGCTTAGATTGTCACTTTTCAGCTAAAAATTGTCAAAATTTCAGGACAAAGGGCACAGGGCAATGGTGAGAGCCCCCTGATCTCTCAATCTGCCTAATATTAAGCAGACAGTTAGTTAATAGGTAGATACAAACGTGACTAAAAGGAATTTGGGTAGACTTTCTATCTTCTATGTTTACGGAGGGCCCAAAGTGCCAGTTGGATATTCAAAATATATAGCACAAACCTACCCGAGACTGCTAAAATGACGGTGAGACCCCCCCTGTTCTTTCAATGTCCATATAATTCGACGAATTTATAGACTCTGTATAAATAAAGATTGTATTAGAAGGATTTCTCAGAATAATGTCATCTTCGATATCTACGGAGGGCTTAGATTGTCACTTTTCAGCTAAAAATTGTCAAAATTTCAGGACAAAGGGCACAGGGCAATGGTGAGAGCCCCCTGATCTCTCAATCTGCCTAATATTAGGCAGACATTTAGTTAACAGGTAGATACAAACGTGACTAAAAGGAATTTGGGTACACTTCTTGTCTTCTATGTTAACGGAGGGCCAAAAGTGCCAGTTGGATATTCAAAATATATAGCGAAAACCTACCTTAGACCGGTTAAATGACGGTGAGACCCCCCTGTTCTTTCAATGTCCATAAAATTCGACGAATTTATAGACTCTGTACAAATAAAGATTGTATCAAAAGGATTTCTCAGAATAATGTCATCTTCGATATCTACGGAGGGCTTAGATTGTCACTTTTGAGCTAAAAATTGTCAAAATTTCAGGACAAAGGGCACAGGGCAATGGTGAGAGCCCCCTGATCTCTCAATCTGCCTAATATTAGGCAGACATTTAGTTAACAGGTAGATACAAACGTGACTAAAAGGAATTTGGGTACACTTCTTGTCTTCTATGTTAACGGAGGGCCAAAAGTGCCAGTTGGATATTCAAAATATATAGCGAAAACCTACCTTAGACCGGTTAAATGACGGTGAGACCCCCCTGTTCTTTCAATGTCCATAAAATTCGACGAATTTATAGACTCTGTACAAATAAAGATTGTATCAAAAGGATTTCTCAGAATAATGTCATCTTCGATATCTACGGAGGGCTTAGATTGTCACTTTTGAGCTAAAAATTGTCAAAATTTCAGGACAAAGGGCACAGGGCAATGGTGAGAGCCCCCTGATCTCTCAATCTGCCTAATATTAGGCAGACATTTAGTTAACAGGTAGATACAAACGTGACTAAAAGGAATTTGGGTACACTTCTTGTCTTCTATGTTAACGGAGGGCCAAAAGTGCCAGTTGGATATTCAAAATATATAGCGAAAACCTACCTTAGACCGCTTAAATGACGGTGAGACCACCCTCTTCTTTCAATGTCCATAAAATTCGACGAATTCATAGACTCTGTACAAATAAAGATTGTATCAAAAGGATTTCTCAGAATAATGTCATGTTCGATATCTACGGAGGGCTTAGATTGTCACTTTTGAGCTAAAAATTGTCAAAATTTCAGGACAAAGGGCACAGGGCAATGGTGAGAGCCACCTGATGTCTCAATCTGCCTAATATTAAGCAGACAGTTAGTTAATAGGTAGATAAAAACGTGACTAAAAGGAATTTGGGTACACATCCTGTCTTCTATGTTTACGGAGGGACCAATGTGCCAGTTGGATATTCAAAATATATAGCGAAAACCTACCCGAGACCGCTTAAATGACGATGAGACCCCCCTGTTTTTTTAATGTCCATAAAATTCGACGAATTTATAGAATCTGTATAAATAAAGATTGTATCAAAAGGATTTCCCAGAATAATGTCATCTTCGATATCTACGGAGGGCTTAGATTGTCACTTTTGAGCTAAAAATTGTCAAAATTTCAGGACAAAGGGCACAGGGC